TGGTCGAACGCTTGCCGGACGGTAAGTGGAGCAGGTCGCCGCAAGCGTCATCCACTTCCACATGGGGCTTGTCACCAGAGGCCTCCGCACCATGCAGTGAAGAAGCCGCGCCAGACGAGCCAATCCAAGCGTGAGCGTCCGAGATGTGTGGCGGCGGGTCCAAGGCAAAAGCCGCCTCCGAGATCGGTTTGTCGATTTCGGAAGGTGATGAACCAGGGGAACTCGGTGGAGACGTCGACGTTGTGGTGAAAGAGGGGCTAGATGACGCCGAAGATGTCCAGCAAGATGTTGAGAACAATCGCTCTTGGGACGGTGGGTGGAAGCCAGCGGGGACTGGGGCCCTCGATGGAGAAGAGGCGCCAACTTGCGCAGTACGAACCACCAACTTTACATGCGAGCGGGCGATCTCGCGGGGCCAGACAAAGAGATGGGGATGGTGCGCAGCACTGACGTAGGTGTGGAACATGACGACGATGTCGAAGATGAGGCGGTCCATCTCGACAGCGCGGCCAAATGACCCGAGCCCAACCAATGCAGTGGCGGGCCGAGAGTAACAGAGCTCCTCCTCGACCAGCTCGCGAAAAAAAGGACGCATGCTAAATCAGGTTTGAGGGCGTCGGGTCGTCGCTCGCACCCGAAAAGACAAAGAAGGCGAACGTGTGCTTGCAGAACTTGGTGCGACGTAGCCAAGCCTTTCGCGATGCTCTTGAGGTAGGCGAAGGCCTGGGGCATGGAGCGTCCACGAAGCTGGTGGAGCAGGTGGTCCCAGCGATGCGGAGGAGTGCGAGAAACGCCGTCAGTGAGCATCTCAGGAGGGAGCGTCCTGACAAGCATGGCCACGAAGCAGCCCCATACGGGGGGCGGGGGGAGGCATGTTTTGATCGTGCCAGTCACGAGGCGCTGGAGTCCATGCCGTTGTGCGGGACGAGCAGACCAACCAGCGACCGCTGAGCGCGCAATCGCCCGCCGAGACGAACTGTGTGCAGGAAGGAGTATCCAGGTAGAGCCTGTCTTGGCGCGCTCGAGGGTCTCCACGAAAGCTGACTTCCAGAACGCAGGGTATGATCGTGCGGGCGGGACTTGAGATGGCGCGCGAAGATCCCGGAGATGTTCGCGCTGACGGCGTAGCCAATCGAGTAGCCTCTGAAGTCGGGCAGCGTGGTTTGTGCTGCGCGAGCGGCGCCGAAACTCAACGCCAGCAACGAAGTGGCCGAAGGCACCCCCAACACCCCGAAGTTGCAGCCTGGCAAGCATGTTGAAGACTCTGAGAGGCATGCGGAAAGTGCGCGCATGGGCAATCAGCTCGCAATTAAGAAGCCACTGCGGCATCATCCTAAACTGCGCAACGTAAAAGAGCCCGGGCGTGATCCTTGTGATGTAGTTGGTGGCCAGCCAAGAGACCGCGAGCGGGCGGCCGCCCGCGGGGCGCGTCCGGAGCTTAACCGTGATCGAGGGGGCGGGCCGGCAGGGCCTCTCGTCGGCCGTGGGGCCGAGGACGAGCCCAAGGTAGACTGGCGTGCTAATGATCTGGATCTGCGCGAAGGGCGGGGCTATTGCGATGGGCGCCTGGCGCGCGATCGCCGCCGCCTCCTCCGAGAACGGCGCGTGCAACGTGACCGGCATGCATTTGGTGAGCTTCAGCAAATAAATGGCGTTGGTTTCTACAATCAGCATTGCACCAGCAATGGCCCTGAGAGCCTTCAGCTGCTTCGCGGCACAGCCGATGTCGTCGGCGCAGACACGGGCCAATCCGAAGCGAGCGCCTTCGAGTCGGGCATGAAGATCGAGCGGGAAGCAGACCGTGACCGTAACATAGATGGAGCCGCTCAAGGAGCGCCCTTGAACAGTGCCCGAAGATATCCGCCGTGCAAAAGTTGGGAAACCGTTGATCATCACAATTGCGTCCACGATGTGGTAGAGCTGCTCCAGCACAGCCATGAAAGCGAAGGGAGCATGCATCTGCTTGAGGGCCACCATCATGAAGGACTGTGCGAGGCTCGTGAAGGCAGCGCCAACGTCCAGCGCTACGAGTACTGGAAGATCATGACCTGCAGTGGGTGAGTTCGAATATGCACGCGCTGCGACATCGGGCTCCAGCGCAGTAGCGCCAAAGTTGCACTTCGGAGTTCAGCCCCGCTGAGGGCGTGGGGCCCAGTCCATGAGGAACTTGCTGAACTGGACGTTGATGGTGGCCGTGATCATCTTGATGTCCATGTTGCGGAGACCCAGGACGCGTATTGCGCTGGGGGCGCGGGCGTAATCAGCCGCCGACGAGTCGTCGACTTCTTCGCCTTTCGGTCGCCAGACCTGCAACGTGTCGTTGGAACTGTTGAGGAGGGCCTGCCCGCTCAGGACCCACGTCGTCGCGTCCGCCAATGCGTTCGCGCCAGTGGGGGGAGCTGCCCATGCTGAGAAATGGTTTTCAGTCTAGGCCAAGTTCGGAGTAGTGCATCTGCAGGGCGACTTGGCGGAGAAATCCAGGCGAAGGCGGGGCCTCTTTGGCGAGGTCCAGGGCGGGGACGTGCTGCTCAATGTAGGGCTGCGTGATATTCATGTCGATCGGCTTGGCAGTGAAGACCGGGGCCTGGTGCTCTATCAGGCGTTCTGTCATCGGTGTGGCATCGTGGGTGGAATTGTTTGGGCCCGGCGGGCGTTTGGCAGCACGAAGCGCAAGACGGCGGTGGAGAGGGGGCCAAATGGCGGAGAAATCCGCGAGATCAGCGGGCGGCGCGTGCGTGTTGACCTTTGCCTTCGTCGAGGGGGGCGGTGAGGTTGATGTAGGAGAAGCGGGGCTCTCGGGGTGAAAATCATATCGCCATGAACGACCGCCAAGCTGTGAAGAGGGTCGGCCTGCGCCACTTTCACGTCGGCCGCCAAAACTGTCGAACCCGAATTGAGCTGCGCGATGGCGAGGTCGTGGCTGTGTGCTTTTGAATGAAGGATGCGGATGCCCTCAAAGTGCAGCGCCACTCGTGGCACGCGCCCAGGCGCAAGAGAGCGATGCGAAGCGGCGGCTCCGCAACCCGCAGGGCAAATCATAGCTGCGCCACCCTTGACTGCATGCCCGCGCAGTAGCTGGTGTAGATGCGGGCGGACGGGGCCGCCGCGGCGAGAAAGTTAGCCAGCTGCGCCTTGTCCTGTGCACCTCGTGAGGGGCGACCGCCCCGCGGGTGATATCCAGGCGCTTGAGGTAGGCGAGCTTCGGCTTCGCGCGGGCTCCGTGGCACTGCGGCAACGTCCGAATGTTCCGTGGCGGGGGTGGGAAGGGCGGCGTCCAAGTCGGTCGGCTGTGAATGGCAGCGGCAAGCCTTTCAAAGACTCCACTCGGCAAACTCTGGGGGCGCGACGATCGTCCGTGCGACCCTGGCGAGGCACTCTTTAAGGGGGCCAAGCTCTTGAGCGATGTTGTGCGCCCGCGCGATCTCGGAGGCGATGTTGCCAGGGTTCGGTGCGATGCAAAATACGGTGTCCCAGCCAGTCATGATGTAGCAACGGTCGCGATCGAAGAACCACCGCTTGGTGCTGTCGACGCCGCGGAAGGCCTCGCGGAGCTTGTGCCTCTGGATCTCGAGCTTGCCAGCAGCGGTTCTCTGGTCGCCGAGGACCTGCGTGACTCGCCTCGCGGCGGGGCCAACTGCTTGGATCGTGAAGTTTCGGGCGACGTTTTCCGTGGCCACGATCTTGAAGGACTTGGCCTCGACGCCGTATTCGACGATCCAGTTGGCGAGGACCTGTTGGATGCACTCGAGCGTGACCAATTTGGAAGCCATGACCCTTATGATCGTAGCGTTGACGTCACGGTGGAAGTCAGCCTCACTGGCTGGAGCAGGCGTTGGCTTGGCGCTGGCGAGTGCTAATGCGATCCGCAGCTCCTGAACTTGTTCTCGTAGGGTCTGAGGAACTGCATCATCTTCTTCGAGACGGCTCTCACAGGCACGGGGTTTGATCTTGTGGCCGTCGAGCTGCTCCTGGAAACTGCGCTGGAAGACGTCCACCTTCTCAGAACAGAACTTTTTAGAAGCGTCTGTGGCCATGTTGGGAAGTTGTTACATTATTTTCGCGAGCTTCCCAGTAGCAGCAGCATGACCAATGAACTGCGAGGCAAAGTCCTTGAACTGCTCATCAACCGTCGAAGAGACGACACTGGTGAAGTCCTTGATGAACTCGTCTCGGTGCTCGGACATCTTCTGGGCGAGGACCTCGGCGGCGAGCTGGCGTACGTAGTCGTCTTGGCAGAACTCCCCGCAGGTGTCGCCTTCGAGCATCTCAGCGTCCACACCTTCTGGGCGGCGTGCGGCGGCATCAGGAAGATAATCACCAGCAACAGAAGGGTCATAACCTCCGCTTCTCGCATCATCCAGATCATCTCGCTCACCAACGGTACCCGGATTAAGACTGGGCTTCTTGCTCTTGAGCTTGGTACCTCTCGGGCGCTTGGGGGATGCATCAGAGGGCATGCGGAGCACAGGCCGTCGGAGGGCAGAGACTCTTGGCCCCAGCAGTGCGCAACTCGACTGGGGTTGCCTGAAGCGAAAGCTGTCCTCGGACTAGAGGTATTCAAGCTCTGTCCGAAGGACAATGCCATCTTGAGCCGAAATGGTAACGCGGAGAAGAAGGACGAGGAGGAGGAGGAGGATGATGAGGAGGAGGAGGAGGATAAGGAGGATGTGGAGGAGACAAAGGATGGTGATAGAACGCACATCGGCATATTCGGGCTTCTTAGGTGACCGGAAGGTTACCAACAGCACCAACATCTGGGATCACCTTTGCACATTGTTTGGCCGATCCCTATCCCCACCGGCGTGGCTGGGGCCCCAGTGGCCGTTTTACCCCCCTAGACGGGAATGTAAGCTGTCTCCTTCGGGGTTCGAGGGGCCTATCCCCAACTGGGTTGGTGGGATGCTGGGGCTAAGATGCCATGGCCTGGTGGGGACGTGGATCGGTTGAGCGATACTGAATCTTTCCTCGGTGGAGACGCACCCCTTTGTTGGTGTTCGTGCCAAGCTCCATGGAGGCATACACGCCTCCTCAATTGTGTCCGACTAAATGGTGTCGGAGTGCCGCGCCGCATCGCCAATCAATGAGGCACAGGCGATGCATTGGCGATGCATCGGCGACGTCGGCGATACATCGGCGCCATCGGCGGGGAGAAATTCGGGCCCCACATCGAGCCCCATCGTCGATGCATCGGCGATGCGGCGCGATCCTCCGACCCCATCTACTCCGACCCCATGTGGGAGGCCTAGATTACAGGCCTTCGAAAATGGGAAAATGGGAGCAGGGGATCGACTACAGAATTGGTTTACCCCAATTTTGATTTCTCGTCAAGTCTATTGAAAATACGTAAACTGTTCTGCAGATATACGGGGAATTCTACACGTGTTTCGTTGGCTCCACGGAACAATCACTTTTGTTGGGGTGCATGAAAGATGCAGTCGATCCCCTTCTCGACAAAAAGGAAAGGGGAGGAAATCGCAGCGGTGCCGTCGCGCGCGGCCCCGCGCTCCCCCCCCGAGGCTGCCCCTCTGCCGCCGCTGGTCCCCTCAGCGGCCGGAGGCCGCTTGGCCGCCCTGGCAGCACCCCGCCTGGCCGCCGGGCCGCTCCTGCCGAGGTTCTTTCGGAATAGCACGCCACGGGAAAACCAGCCAGTGGTGTTCTGTGGTCGGAGAGCGTGGAGAGGCCCGCGCGGCCGCCCCCCTCGTCTTTCGTTTGAAAGAGGGGGCAGTGGTCAGAGCGGACCCCATTGCTATCGTGACCTATGTGCCAACTGCTCGTCCTTGGAGACCTTTGTGCACATGTAGTTCGTTCATTCGTGCGGAAACCAGGTATAGACCCCGGGGGGCCTAGGCTACCCTAGGGCCTACTGACGTCCCTAGGCTTGCCTAGGGTAGCTGACGGCATTGGAGTTCCTAGGGACGCTGCCCCCCCCCCTCCAAGGGCCTTTTCCTCCTCCTCCTCCTCCTCGTCCACCTTCTCCTCCTCCTCCTCCTCCTCCTAATAGTTCCCCTGCTCCTTCTGGGTGGCGGTATGTTTTGCATCGGACCCTGTGCCCCGACTCGACTGGCCGAGGTGCCTCTCGTGGCAAGGGTGGATGTCATCAGGCTCGCTGGATCCTCGATGCTCCACGGCCTTGATTCTGCTGCTGTTGTTCTTCTTTATCGGCCTTGTTGCCCTCGTCCTCGTTCTCGTCCTCCTCGGCCATTGTCCTCCTACCCTTTCTTGTCGCCATCCTCAATTTCACCCGTCGCATGCTCGTAAGCCCCATGCAAACCACCAGTCAGCACATGATAGATCAAGGAGCTGTTCCTTGATCTACCCGACGGGCCAAGGAACGAACAAATGAGGCATTCCGCCTCCTTGGTCACAGTTCGTGCCGACGCGTCCTATCGTGGCCCGTTCGGAGTCTTTGCGCAGCCCGTGGACAGCGCAACATGCACAGATGGCCGAACGTCCGCAGCAGCGTGCCCACTCCTCTGCGGTGCGCCGCGGTCGTTTACGCCTCTTTTCGTACTGCTGCCCACCTCGCCGCCGTCGTTGCTCCGCCCCTCCCCAGGAGGCGGCAGCAAGGCAGGACCAGTCACCATCTCATCGGGAAATCGGATCGCATCGGGCAATGCGTCGGATCGGGCTGCATGGGCACGGAATCGGAATCGGACCAGCCGCGCGAGGACGCACGACAACGCCACGTGAGCGTCGGGCAGAACTGGATCGCCTGAAAGTCGAGGTTAAACCGAATCGGGCCGGCCAGAGCCGCCATCGGATCGCATTGATCGGATCGAAATGGCGGGAAGCCCTGAACCCAGAAATGTTGCTATCTCTTGGGGGCACTACTGTTACTTCCTTCCTCACGCGCACCGCCCCCAATGATCATTCAGCTCAGGAAATCTCGTGTGGGGCTCTCGATCAGCGGAAGGGCGGCGCTGGTGTAGGCAATCTGCTAAGCCAGGAGCCTGACGAAGAGCGAGCAAAGGCAGGTGGGCATCTTCGTTCCCCAGTCCCGCCCCTACGCACCCCCCCAGCAGGAGGACGGCTCTGTAAGGGCAGCCCCTCCGCCCCCCCGAGGAGGGCGGGGGCCACAGCCTCCCAACAAGACAAGCATTGTCGCCAAAACGTGCAAGGAAAGTCATCGAACCACCAACGAGCACAGCAAAGAGAGAGAGAGAGAGAGAGAGAGAGAGAAGCAAGACACAATCAACATGACGCGCATAATCGAGGCCCTCCTGGGATCTTCCACGTCCGCTGGCTCCTGCCGGCGGATGCAGCCTCGTTCTACTTCCGCCAACTTCCGCCGACCTTCCCTCGCCTTGCCGCCGAGAAAGAGGTGGCAACTCCTTCGATCTTCGAAGATCTGGAATCCGCCAAACGGACCCTGCAGCTGGGGCGGCGCGGTGCCTCGTCGTCGTCGTCGTCGTCGTCCTCGTCGCCCCCGGTCCTTCGGCTGCAGCAGGCCGGTGCCCGCCTGGAGCCGGCGGGGGCGCGAGTGCGGGGCTCCCCGTCCGCCCCGAGCGGCTCCCCGTCCGCCCCGCTCGGAAAGGGCGACGGGCCGCACCGGGGCCCGGAGCCCGGGAGCTCCTGCTCCTCCTCCTACTCCTTCTCCGCCGCCTCCTCCTTCTTCTCCTCCTCCTCTTCCTCCTCCTCCTACTCCTCCTCCCTCCGATCCAGGTGCTGAGCATCGTTGAGCCGATCCCTCTTCCCACTGGCGTGGCCGGGGCCCCACTGGGCGATTTCGCCCCCCAGGTAGGGATCCAGGCTGTTCCCTTCGGGCTTCGAGGGGCCTATTCCCAACTTGATTGGTGGGATGGTGGGGCTGAAATGCCATGGCACCGAGGGGACGGGGATAGGTCAAACGATACTGAAGAACGGTCAGGAACTTGGGCATAGCGTGCCGTCGCTTCGGCCCTGGCGACACGCTATGCCTTGCAAGCGGGCGGCGTGGCGCTCCGCTTCGCGAGGCAGGAGGCCAGGCAAAGCTCGGGACGTGGGCGCTTGCAAATGGGGCATGGATGGTGTGTCGCGCCGAGGCGCGGTGGGCCAGAACCGGCGGAGCGACACGCCAGGCCAGAATTCCCGACCTGGCCCGACGCTCAGCCCAGATGCCTCGACTGTTCCGGGAAACCTTTTCCCCCTTGCCCGCCGCGCGGCCGTCGCCCTTCCGCTCCCCCCCCCACCTCTAAGCCTGTTCTTAGGTGTGCCACTGCGCCTCTTCGCGTCCCGCCTAGGCTCCGAGCGCGGCGTGCGCTCGCTGGGCGCCACGACCAACAAAAAGAAAGGTGCCGTCACGCCAGGAGGCCTGGGCCTCTGGGAGGTTGCAGACGGGTACCTGGAGGGCTACAGAGGCCCCCGCAGGCCCGCCAGAGGTCTCCTGGAAGTCTCTGGAGGTCCCTGTGGAGCTCCCTGGAGTCCCGAAGAAGGGGGTCTCCCGGAGGTCTCTGAGGTCCCTGGAGCTCCCCAAAGGGCCCTGGAGGCCCGAAGAAGGGGGTCTCCTGGAGGTCTCTGAGGTCCCTGGAGCTCCCCAAAGTGCCCTGGAGGACCCCAAAGGCCCAGGCCCTTAGGAGGTGTTTGGAGGTCCCTGGAGGACGTTGCAGGCCCAAAAGAGGGCCGACGGCGTCCCATAGCCCTGAGGGAGGCCTCGGCTCCGCGCGCAGGGCGGGCCCGCGGATCGAGCTTCCGACATGCCCGCCCAGATCTCGATCGTCGGCTGCGCGCAAGAGGTGACACTTGGCGAGGTCGTCCTCTGGTGCGCGGCCTGCAAGTCGCGGCGTGCGGTGCGACAGCAGCAACCCGCGTGCCCCGCCCCCACCCTCCTCCTCCTGCTTCTCCTCCTTTGCTCCTCCCCCCCTCGTCCTCCTCTTCGTCCTCCTCTTCCTCCTCCTTCTCCTCCTCCTCCTCCTCTTCCTCCAATGCTTTTGCTAATGGATACCTCCTCCGTGTCGCACCCCGAGGCTGGTCGAGTGGGCGGGCCTGGCGTTTCGCCTGGGACTTCCTCGTCGTTTATGGCCCTGCAACTTAGAAACTGGCAACAGTTTCACACGTGGAGGGCGGGTGGTGTTGAAAATGTGGCTCTCGCCTTCGCGCCGCGCACATTCGTTTTTAAATACTTGCCAGCGTTTCACGGGTTGAGGACAAGCCGTTTTCAACATGTGGCTCTCGCTTCAACGCTGCGCGCATTCATGTAAACAATTTGCAAGCATTTCGCGGATTGAGGACAAGTCGTTTTCAACATGTGGCTCTCGCTTCAACGCTGCGCGCATTCGTGTAAACAATTTGCAAGCATTTCGCGGATTGAGGACAAGTCGTTTTCAACATGTGGCTCTCGCTTCAACGCTGCGCGCATTCGTGTAAACAAATTGCAAGCTTTTCGCGGATTGAGGACAAGTCGTTTTCAACATGCGGCTCTCGCTTCAACGCTGCGCACATTCGTTTATTGCAAGAGTTTCGCGGACTTTTCAAACTGTGGCTCTCGCCTTAGCGCTGTGCACTATCGTTTGTTGGTTAAACAATGTTAGAGTTGAACGGATTCACTTGGTCAGCGTGCCAGAAATGGCTTTTTGGAAGGACTCAGGATGATGGGGGCGCAACAGTTTATGTTGATCAGCTGTGTTGAAGTCCCAGGAATGGTGTTCTGGCGCGGTTCAGGATCGTCCAGACGCAACAGTCATGTTGATTCGGGGCGTTGGAACCTCGATCATGGTGTTTTGGCACGCTTCAGGGACTTCAAACGGATGTCTCCCAACGAGGCAGTTCCCTCAGTGGAAATAAACCCTTGTAGGGGGCTATGAAGAGGAAGCTTGGGAGAGGGTTATTCCCAACATTCATGATGAGTCTTGGGCTTCCACTGGTAATCCTCCTTCTCTCCTCCTCCTCCTCCTCCTCCTCCTCCTCTCCTCCTCCTCCTCATCCTCCTCATCCTTCTCCTCCCATTCCCCCCCCTCCCTCCCTCCCTCCTGCTTCTCCTTCTGCTCCCCCCCGCACGCCCCGAAAGCCGCGCGCCAAAAGTTCCTCTGTCCGAGTGGCAGCTCGGCTTTTGGGCCATAGCTCGGGTCTCTAGCCCCCGTTCCGGGCGATTCCTCCCCACCGGGAACGCTCTCGGCGGGGCGCAGCTGCTGGAACGTTTCCTGAGGCAGGAAGACCTGCAGGAACTGACGACGCCGTCAGACAATCGGCCGAGGGTCTCTCCTATGCGCAGCCGAGATCGGTCGAACGGCTCTCGGCGAGTCGCAGCTGCTGGACCGCATCCCGAGGCAGGACGACCCCCGAGAACCGACGAACACGTTAGAACCTCGGCGTGCCGCCCTCCATTGCGCAGTCGAGATCGGTCGATCGGCAGCCCGACGTCGAAGCTGGATCGGTCCGTGCGGTCGATCGGCCGCCAGATCGAGCCTCGGGTGCTCCAGAAGGCTGGCAGACCTGGGCGGGCTCCTCCCTCCCGAGTCGGCCCGCTCTCTCAGCGCTCCTCCGCGTTCTCCTTCCCCTGCCTCCCCTCCGCTCTCTCCTCCTGCTCCTCCTCCTGCTGCTCCTCCTCCTCCTCCTCCTCCCTCCAGCCCCTGGTCCCTGCTCCTTGCTCCCGCTCCGCCTGATTCTATTTTCCCTTCTTCTTCTTCTT